CTGCTCAGGTCCCTTCCGACCCTAGAAACTATGAAAGCACCCAAACAGCCCCACAAAAGCACCCGACCTGTATAGACATCAGTTTAGCCAAGTCCACCTAACACGCTGCCTCTTCTGGGCATATGCTGGGCCCAGCATGGGAACATGCCAGATTTAAAGTCAAGTGCCATTTTTTGGGTTTTTTAATGTCTGCAAGCAGCCATAAATATTAACATGTGCATACATAAGCAACAGATCCTTTGACCTGTATTCAGAGTTCAAACCCATACTTTTCCTATGGAATAAATGGAAACTAAAAGGATCCCCTGAGTATCCGTATATGCAGAAAACCTGACACGAAGTTTGAGGATGAGGTAGAAAGGGAAAAAACAAAACACAGATGGGAAGTAGCCTGGATTGGTCTACACAGAGGAAACAGTTGTGTTTTGCAACCATGTCTGAGCTTGCCATTGTGGCTACACTGGGCTGTTATGAATTTGGAAAGCATTTACACATGTGCTTTGATCTATTCCTATTCAAGAAGAGACTTAACACAAAAGGTCTAAGTACCCATTCTGAGGTCAGGATGGCATACTTTCCCTGTATCAGGGTCTAACGTGTATTTGTAAAGCCATTATTATATGTTTACAAGGTACACTTTGCATTCTTGTGTTGTTTACTTATGTGCACTAAAATAAAGGTCTAAAGGAAAACATCCAGACCCCAGCTCTTACCACCCACTTCCACTTGTGGGTCAGAGAAACAAGCAAGCATACATCTTTTTTTGTACTGCCAAAGGAGACAAAAAAGCATCTCTTCTGCCCCAAAAGCAAGGCGCAGTCAAAATTCATTGACGTTGCTAATTCTCAAAGTAAACAGGGGGGGGACAGCAACAACTTAACCTGACCAATCCACATCAGCCTTCAAAAACTACATATTCAAGTGGCTGGTTATTCCTTACCAGCCATATCAGTCTGTGGTGTCTGGTACAGTTTAGTGAATTCATCAGGATAGTTCTCCACCCAATTCCAAAATGCCTACAAGAGACAAGGCAACACACATCTTTAAGCATATGTAACCATCAGTTTAAAAAATAAATTCAATTTAGGAAATCAATTTCTAGGGGCAAAGAGATGTTATTCTACCCTTCAGAGTCAGCAGGCACTGTTTTTATAGTGTCATTTAATTTCACCACCCACCCAAAAAACGATAACTTTCCTGTAAGTTAGAGGTGTCAAAACAGATGATTTGCTGTGTAAACTATGCTGCTTTACAGGTTCCCAAATTAAAAGATAGAATGAGCCTTCAAATCAATAATTGAGGAACAATGTGAAAAAATTCAGGCCCAAATATAACAATGGTAAAATACTTGCCTTTTCAAGACTGTTAATAACAGCCAGTTGAGCTACTTTCTTTAGGGCTTTAAACTTAAACACTGTCTCTGAAACAATAAAATATTTCAGTATTTGTTAAAAGGGTTTTTCCTTCAAAACAAGTGTAGCGTATGTATTAATTCGTCCTAATAAGGTATCTAAAGGGCCAAATATCTGGAGTTTTTTTAAACCTTTAAACAAATTATAACGTTAACGGCTTTAGCACATGACATTATTTCGAAACCGATATACACAGTAAGACCCATAGCAACAAGCACCTTTATGCAAATACAGATGCACCGATTTAACTATACCCAGGTCTAGCAGCATAAAATTATGTAGATCAGCCTTTACAGATACAGGTTCAGATCTCAGCCTACCTTGCAATAGTCGTTTTAGTTTTGCACAGTCCACACTGATGTACTGTAAGAGTTCAATATCGTGAACATCAGCATTATCTTCCGAGCACACAGTCATCTCCTGTAATCTAAAAATATGAACAGTAACTTACCAAAACAAATGGTGTCAGCAGTGACTGATGTGTTCATTTCTACAGTGTTAAACCTGTGAATATTAAAGGCATAAGGACAGGATCCTCTCCTGACTCTTAAATGGAACTTAGTCAGACTCAGGAATTGAAAGTAAAACTTTCAATATTTCAATATTTTATACAATATTTTCCTTTCATTGTCTTAGAAAAAATTGTTTCAGAGATTAAATGCTCAACACTCCAAGCTATTAGCCAGCTTCCAACACCATCTGTTGATATGCATATTTACAACAGCATTTTACCCTATGTCCTCTAGCTATTTACTATGCTATAGATGCAATCAATATTGCCTTTCACTTAAAAGTACCAACCTTCCTGGCTGATGAAGCCTTTAGGCCAACATCCCTGAAGAGCAAATATCTTGCTTTATACTTGAGCTAGAACATCTGGACAATAATCACCAGCACTCATTGGGTCCTAAGGGACCTGTAGCAGCCCTCTTCAACTAAAGGGAGGGCCAGGTTTTCTTGTCCCTAGTGAAACTCAATTTGTTTTAATCACATCAGTTTAAGCACAGTGATAAGTTGGTAAATTTCTTCCCTCGTTTTTCGATGATGACTTACTAAACACCGTCCCAGATCACAAAGTCCTAATAACTAAATCATATGTTCCTGCACGTTAAGTATGGCCATGGTCTGTTCCAAAGCTACAGATGTGTATTTGACATGATATGTGATTTCTAGCACTACACACAAAAGCAGTCTTCATTTCATCAATATGGGGAAAATTTAACAGCCCACGCTGGGAATGGGAAGGTCCCTGATGATGTGCTTTACATGCCAAAAATCCCCCAGCTGCTGTACAAGGCCTAGAAATATGCCTAAACAGGAAGCACAGGTCAAAAGATCAGCAATGTTAACTGTTGGCAGGCTGACCCCTGTGGAGATCAGCAACAATTGGCCAAATGTTTAACCATTTCTGTGCTAGCCAGGTTGAAGTGAAAGACAGGATTGTGTGGGGGAAAAAAGTGAAGTCCAATTTAAAAGCTAACCTTCAATTTCAAAACCAAGCAAGGAGTAAAAAAAAAGCTTTCAGAGCACAACCTCTAAACTATACCACAGATGTATGAACAAATACAGATTAAAGCACTATATGCAAGACTAGGTTAACTGTTGCCTGTGTAATACATGGGAAGAATTATTTCCTACTGCATAAGAAATTGAATGTAATCCACTCACTTAGCAAAAACCACATCCTCCATGCTGAATGCCAAGTCTAGGTCCTTAAAACTAAGGCTATTAAAACCCTTTCACATTTGAGGAAAAAATGAGATTTCAGTGAATTAAATGTTTACCTAGTTAGTTTTCTGAAATGGGAATGCACCTCCTTTCAAATGTTCTGGAAGGTCTAATTATATAGGGTGCACAATTTCTTATTTCAAGTAGACTGTATCAAAATAGCTCAAACTGGCACATTTGTTGCTGTCCAACAGGAGCAAGGTAGCACAGGATCCAATTTTAACAGACCTCTTCCTGGTTATAAACATCCTACACAGGTAAGCGTTAAGCCGTTTCACACAAGTTTCAAAAGTACCTAAAACCACTGCCTCAAGAAAAGTTTACTAGGCAACCTTCGTGGGCTTGCAAAGGACAAAGGCACCAATGCTAAGGTTAACTTGTAAAAAGGGCAGAGGAAAGGAACCAAAAATTAGAGATCTAGAATACAAACAAGGATAGACTGGAAGAACTGGGATTATTTAAGTCTAAAGAAGAAAAAACTGAATGTGATTTGATAACAATCTTCATGAACCAAAATGGTTGTTACAAAGAGGATGGTAATCAGCTATTTCCCATGTCCACAGGAGACAATAAGAAGTGGCTTAAATTACAAGGGATATGCATTAGGATATCAGGAAGAAATGTCTAACCATGAAGGCGATTAAGCGCTGGAGCAGATTGCCTGGAGATGTGGAGTCCCCATCACTGAAAGTTTTAAGTGCAAGATTAGACAAACACTTGACTAAGATGTTTTAGGCAGAAACGTTCCCGTCTTCAAGAGGCTTAGACAAAATGACCTCCTGAGGTCCCTTCCAGCGCTATTTCTCTAAGGTTCTGTGTCTAAAAATAAATTAATCTAGCATGCAGAAAATCAGCTATAAAGGTAACTTTTTATCATTTGAAAGTTAAGCTAAGTTCTGGAACAAGAAAGGAATTTTATTCAGGCAATTAACTTTCTAGTTAAACACAAATACCCCACTAGCATTTAAGAGAGTTTTAATATTTTCCAGATCAGAAAACCTGCAGTTCACGGCAGAGCTTTATTTTCAACTCTGTAGATTAAATCCAAACAATTGTTATAGTAGCTGATAAATTTCTAACCCACTGCATAAGCTATACCATCCAAGCACTCACCTGGTGGAAATGCGGCTAAAGACGGCATTAAAGTTATTGCAGCTGAGAGAGAAAAGAACCCCAGAGGCAGAATTGCGAAGCTCGGCTGCGTGTTGGTTTCCTTCACGGAAGGTGTGGATAAAGTGGCATATTTCTGGCAGCAACTGTTTGACCAGCATCGTCTCATCTAGCCGCATGGTGTCCTTTGGTTGCTAAATTAGAAACATCTTGTTAAGATTTCCTGAAACTCCATTGTGTAGCTTTACATGTAGAAATGTTATCTAGTCACTGCCATCCAAGGGAGAAATCTGAACCTCTTGCTTTATACACACTACTTTACCTTTGCAGGTATGTTTCTAGAAGCTGTGAGTCCCAGTTAGTTGCTTAGTACCATTAAGTATTGACTGGATTATCAAAAATTTCTCAAGCAAAAAATCTGAATGCTTCAAAGGATCAACTCCCTCTGCAGAGAGAGGGTTCAGCCTCTGGACACTTAACAGGACTGAAATGGTCCCCAAGGCCACTTCAACCTGCATAACACACAGGAGGAAGGCAACTGAGTGATCCTTGCTCAGCTAATGAGGATAAGATGAAAACCTAACCCTTCCCTCCACCCAACCTCGCCCACCCCAAGTACTCTCTCAGTTTTTTGGCTGCTCCATAGGGAGAGAAGAGTAGACAGAAAAGAGGGTGCTACCCTACTGACTCACGGTATGAATCCAGACAAGGATGAGGATGGCTAGACCTTCCTGTAGGAGAAAATCCTTTTTCCCCAATTTGCACAGTATGAGACAAGGAAACTATTTTACAAAGAATGTGAAGTGCAACTCTGCTCTACTAAGAACCAGTCTTGACAGAAGCGTCAGTATTTAAAGCTTTCTAAAATTCTACCAATGAATTTACAATAGGGAATTGGGAAGTTGCAGCCACTCCCACTCGGTTGACCTGAGTCTTGTTGCCATGAGAACTTGATGAAACATTAAGCAAGAAATGTCTGAAGACATCACAGAACACTACTCTCTTTTTATACAACTTTGCCATCTTATTAAATGTATACTGGCTCAAACTGCTTATTTGAACTGACAAAGCAAGAGGCATTCAGTACAATTTTAAGCTGTTAAAAGAAATGTCATCATGTACATGAAGAACACTGGGCTTTCCAAAAATTTGGATTTTGGGGTGTGTACCCTTTAAAGAAAAGAATTCAGGAAAGTTTGACAAGTCTAAAGCACAAAACATTACAGGAAGAAAAGTAAGGAAAAATACATTATGGACTTAAAGTTGAAACCTACTCTGTGATGTGCATTTACCTATATCTCATTGTTCATGCATTTGAAACAGAGCATTTATGTTGAATAGAAGTACTTACTACATTGACAAATCAAATCCTAGTGTGTTTAAAGTGAAAGATCTTTTAAAGCTGGCACAACAGAATTGCAAGCTTAGATGATTTCATTACATCCATCCATACTGAGGTCAAAAGCAATCCCTTTCTAGTTAAAGGAATAAAGTAGAAACTCAAAGATTTCACCCAAGCTAAAGTTTGTCTTTGCAATTATACAACTTTGCAGAAAGAACTGTACAACTGTTTATATCCCAAAGGTAAAAGCAAAGTGCCTCTCAGCACAGATTTGAATGACATATGAAAGTTTCTGTGGAAACCTCAAGACTGGACTCCCACTGGAATTTTCTACAAGGTTAACTAATGTAAACTAGGAAACACCTGCAAAAGTAATCTTTAGTATGGTGATAGCAAAGGTTTCTGTCTGTGTATACAGTTACACAAACCAAAATAAAATTACATCAACTAATGAAGTTGCAAGAAACCTCTGCCTCATTTAAGAAAAGTGGGCTTCCATAAACTTTAATAAGGATTTTTATTTTCATTTAATCTATGTACTACTCTACATTGATTGTAAAGCTACCCTTTAATTTTTTATACTGTCTGAATTGTGACATGAAAGGATTTTATTATTTTGTTGGTTAACCTACTCAGAAACTTTCCACATACGCAGATCCAGTAGAAACTTCACACTAGGATCTGTTTCTACACCAAAGTCTGTCACTCATGAACACAACAGTTGGTTTTAGTTGAGCTGTTTGCTACTCATTTTTCATACGAATTGCCACAGAGAAAAAAGCAGTAGCATTAAGAGTTCTGCAAGAGGAGGAAGCAGGGGGCAGGTCAGTTTTGAAAGCTTTTTGGGCTCCTTAAGTTGAAAATTGAGACATTTTTAATCATAGTTACCTACTACATATTAGGAAGGAGACAAAACATTTGACAGTTCATTCTTATTTTATCACTTGCACTAACATTTCAATGCACAGGAGTTTTTTTTTCTAACATTAGTAGCTATCCTGTTATGCGACAAATTGCTTCCAATTTTAGTAGCAGCTAGCACACAACCCTATGTATCACTTCTGCTTTCTGTTTACATTGGATTTACAAACTTAGGGTTAACGACAACTCACCCCTGCAAGACATTTTTCCAGTGTATCCAATATAATCAGCTGAGAGAGATACAAATTCTTTTCAGCAGCTTCTCCAAATATCCTCTAGAAGAAAAGATGCAGATTTAGCTCAGATGTATAACATGTAGATTATGCTAAAAATTAGAGGTGGGTGGCGGTTAGGTAGCACAATAAGTTTATGTCGTAGCCTATCAACCTTCAGAGCTCTGGGTACAAACTTGGAAATAGGACAAACAAAAGGAAATTAACAGCTATATCTTAACTGCTACCCAAAAGTATCACAACAGTTCTGACATGATTAACTTGTATTGCACCAAGAGAACCATAGAACAGCATGCCTGGAGGTGAACTAGCAATTGAAGTGGGGAGCCCAGCCAGCCCCTCACTTTCATGAACCCCAAATCCAGCCAAACAACAAAGGCTACACTTCCCTGGAAGTTAATCTAGTACCTAATACTGTTCATCTTTTCATTTCTTCAGTGCTTTACTTCACTGCCAATGTCACCTAACACAACTGAGCTTCCACAGATCTGTGGCTTCTCAGTGGTTCAACTGCTGCAAAATTTAGCACAGACCCACAGGAAAAAGTTCACATAATACTAGAACCTAAAAGCAGATGCTGCATTTTAAATCTGGGACGCAAGACTCCATCTGTCAGGTATTTACGCTAGCATCTGATTTCACTACCAGCTCCAATGGCCAATTATGTCAATATTTGGACTGGAACAGAAGAACAAAGCAGAGAAAGGATACCCAAAAATACAACTGGTACCATTGTCTGTAGCTAGAACACTACATTCTCATGTTATATTTAAAGTTGCCTGAAAGGTTAGTTCAAATAGCTATAGATTTTTGGAGAGAACAAGGTCTTCTAACTAGATCTTTCTTCCAGATCTGGACTATGATGACACTACAGTCTACTGGAGTTTCCTGACTGATGGAGGAATCCTTGAAAAGTATTAGCTGCTGAATGAGCAGGCATCTCTTATTTAATCATGGAAAAGCCCAATCCTTGCTGTTTGATATAGGACACTGATGAGGAGACACATTTCTTCCTGCCTGTACTTTAAAGCAAGTAAGGACTTTCAGGAAGCATTCATTTAGCATCAACTTGGGTTAATAAATTCAGTTATGCCGTTTCCCTGAAAAGCTACACAAACAGTACAAAAATGTGTCTTCTAGCTCTATAGTTTGCACCCTAGTTTATCCTACAATAACCTCAAACATCAACACATTTCCTCATGCCCAGGAGGTTTAATTGTAATTCCCTCTGAATGACGATAACAGGTAGGATTTTAGGTTGCTTACTGTTCACTCCCTGCAAAGCAGCATGTTTTCGCTCTCTGATTTGAGCTAACTTAGGTAAATTATGGAAGATTTTTATCCTCCGCACATTACTAATATGTAGAGTGGGCAGCTGATTTATTTGCTGGCCCCATTAGTTTCTATGGCTTTTAACACTGCAAGCTTTTGCTGTCCTTTCTATCTCTTTCTAACAAGTACGCAAGCTGGCATTATCACCTGCCTTTTTGCAAATCCACCCAAGCAGTGACAGTTAGCAAGCAATCAAGTTTATGATGATGATTCCTAGTATTTGGAACGTATTCCCCCACGAAAGGTGTTTTATTTCATCGCTCTCCTCTTAAAAGGCTCCTCAAACTCCACATTTGGCCAGCAAAAAGGCAGTTTTTATTTTTCCTCGAATAAACACTTTTGACCATAATTAATACTTTTACCACTAGTTTTTTTTTCCCTTCCTTCCTCTGGTATCAGGCACCAGCAAAGATGCTTCCATTGTTAATATTAATGAACAAGGGGATCCAATAATGCTCTAGCGGATTTTTTTTGGAAGTGAATTTATTGTGCATTTTGCTGCTCCTCAGACAAACTGAGCATCGATGGAGACCATTCATGTAATGTTAAACCTTTGCGTTTAAGGACATGTTTCGGGAAATTGGAAGGGAGGTCCTTTGGAACCCCTTTCTCCCACTCTTTTACTCCAACTTGTTGCCCTCAAGAATTCAACATTAATGAGATCCCTGACCCAACCAAGAACAACTTGGGGTCCCACATGGCTTGGTCCATGGACCCGTACTCTTCAGTGTCTTCATCAGTGACTTTGACTTCATTAGGGGGACGCAGCAAGGTACTGGAAATGTTCTGTTCGCCAGGGCGCCTCTTGGGATAACAAGGAACAATGGTCACAAACTGACAGCAGGTTTAGGCTAGACATCAGGAAAAACTTCTTCACGGTAAGGGTGGCCAAAATTTGGAATGGGCTTCTGTAGCAGGGCACTAGGGTGCCTGCTACTGGCGGTGGTAATATGGGCTGAGCTGCCAATCACCGGGGCAGCAGGTGAGAGTTGCTAAGGCAGCTGAGCGGGTCAGCTGACCGCCAAGGGCAGGGCCTGGCCTTATATAAACAGCCAGGCCGAAGCCTGGCTAGGAGTTACCATCTAGCAGCTTGAGAAGCAGGAGCTCTGCTGAGAAACAGAGCAGGGCGGTTACCACCTGGCAGCCGGAGAAGCAACAGCTCTGCTATAGAGCTGAGCAGAGCAGACCAGCGTCATTGCTTGACCGCCTGAGTGCCTGCAGAATGGCCTGGGAAGGAGAGGCCTCTGACAGGGAGGCCTGAAGGAGAGCGCGCGGCGTGGAGTTATAGCCGGTAGGCTCATTTTGGGTTACAGCCGGGTTGGCTTCAGGTGATGTTAGAGCCGAGAGGCTTCGTGTGCTGTTGTTTCGAGAAGTCATTGGAGCCCCGGAGGGGGAGGCTTTTGTTTAGTTCGTTGTGTAAATCACTGGAGGACCGGGTGAGGCTGCAGGGGTGTGAGGAGGCCTCACAGGAGATCCCCAGTAGCCTGGGGGTTCCTGGGTGCCCTGTTTGGGGCACAGAGTAGTGCCGGGGAGGCACGGCTGTGTGGCACCGGGGCGGTGCGGTGTGTGGGGGTTGAGGCCCCAGCCCGTGAGGGCGGTATTCGGCCCAGTAGGGCGAAGGACCCCGAGAAGGGTCAGGGGCCAGGCACAGCTACGGGCCACCTGAGCCCCGAGTGCGGTTGAACGGGGTACAGAACCCAGAGAGGGCGACAGCACGGAGAGCGCGTGTATAGGTCTGCGTGTGGGTGAGTGTATGAGGCCGGAGTAGGGCAGGCACGCGGTTAGAGGTCCGAGGCAGGGCCAGAGCGTGCGGGTGAAAGCCTGAAGAGGGCAAGTATGCTAGCCGAACCCCAGAAGGGGCACGACTGGGCTTGTACAACAAGAGCGCAAGAGGCGCGGACATAGGCCCAGCGAGGGCGCAGCGCGAGAGGCACGGATATAGGCCCCAGAGAGGGCGCAGCGCGAGAAGCGCATATTGGGACAGGCCCCAGCGACAGCAAGCACGAGAGGCGCGGACATAGGCCCAGAGAGGGCGAGCGCGAGAGGCGTGGACATAGGCCCCAGAGAGAGCGCAGCGCAAGAAGTGCGGGACAAGCCCCAGAGAAGGGCGAGGGCGCGAGAAGCGCGATTACAAGCCTGGAGTAGGGCAAGCGCACGGGTGGAGGCCCGAGGCGGGCCGACACGTGCAACAGAGCCCGAAGAAGGGCGAACACAGGAGTAGGCCCCAGAGAGGGGCGAGGGCTAGCGAACACAGGGGCGCTAGAGCAAGGGGTGTAGGTTGCGTGAGAAGCCCAGTGGCGCCCGAGGAAGGGGGTGGGTTGCGTAATAAGCCCAAGGTGCCAGGTAAGGCACAACTGACCAGACAACGTCCGGAACAGCTGCAAGGCTTGGGGCGTGCTGAAGGGGAGGGAGGAGGCACGCATAGCCCATAAGGCCGGGGTGCACCAGGTCACCCGTAGAGGGTAGGAGCCCGGACAATTATAACACCCAGAACTAGGAGATCAAAGGCAGCCTCCCATATTAAATTATATATCATCAAAGACGTGGCGGGCGAGAATCAGAGGGTGCTGGATCTCCTAATTTGGCACGGCAGGGGGCGCTGGCGGGATCAAGGCCGCTCCTAGGGCCCGCCCCGTGACAGCTTCCAACAGAAGTGCTGCTCTCCCCTACCTTGGGGGTCTTTAAGAGAAGGCTGAATAGGCATCTGGCTGGAGTCATCTGACTCCGGCACTCTTTCCTAGCCAGGCAGGGGATCGGACTCGATGATCTGTTGAGGTCCCTTCCGACCCTAGCATCTATGCCTCTATGCAACTGAGCTAAATCAAATGTCAACAACACAGGACGAACTGTGGAGGATATACTCCACTCCCATCTTCACTTGTTTTTCTTCTCTACTGGCCTGTAAGGGATGAGCTCAGGAGATTCACTCTTTAGTGCTACTATTAGACAACCTCAAACCTTTTCCTTAATGGTTCTTAACTGATAAACTTGTTCAGCTCTTTTTTGGGGGGTGTAATTAATGACAACGCCACCTGCAATTGACTGCAGGAAATGCTTATGCCAGAACATGTGAGCAGAAACTAAAGAGACTTATGTCCACGTTTTAGATGCTGTTTCTGACAAGAGTGAACAGAAAAACTCCCATCTTGCCAGGTTCTCACTAGCTTTGAGCAACTGTCCTTCTCCTCTCCCAATGTTATTGGGGTGCTTTTTCAGTTAGCTGGCATGCTGAAGAGAACCAGTTCTCACTGACCAAGTATTATTTACACTACATATTCCAATGATTTGGAGAGTGCATGTCCACATACTGCTTACAAACACGGGGTAGTGCAACATGCTTAGTTGTACCTCTCAAATAGTAATATATCCTTTATCATCCATTATCTCAATGGATAACCAAAAAGGTACTAATGAATATAGTATCACTACCCTTCTTCTCTCAGACTCTGTTGCCATACCTAGCTCATCATCCTCACATGCAATATGCATATTACTACTACTTTCAATTCTGTTGGTAAGTTTTACTGCAGTTAAAGTTGAGAAACTGGAAGGGGACCCAGAACCTACTGACTGCACAACACGTAGCAGCAATTTGACTCACATTTCAGACCAGACATTCCAAAGTTTTTGATAAATCCAAACAAAAACAAAAAGAACTTACCATATTATTAACATTTTTTAAGATATTAGTGAGACCACTTATGACCAGGGAAAACTTGTACTTGGAAATGTTTATGAGGCATTCCTTGTTATGCTCTGTGCTGACTCTGGTGTGGGTATTCTGTTGGCCAGCTTTTATTGGAAGCTGCAAATAAAAAGGAGTATTATTAACATCTGTACAGCAAGATAGAGACTGACATTTTTACAGGAGAAAAGCAGCAGAGAAAACTTTAGAAGATTCTAAAAAAGGCAACCTTACAGTAAGTTAGCACAGTATCTTACTTCTATATAAGATTGTTTTACTTCCTCTGTCTGTCTGCTAAGGAATCTCTTATTGTGACACGCAAACCAAATGAATAAGTAACCGCAGTCCTACAGAACGTTTCCATTTAGAAACAATCATTCATAATAATAAAAAGGATGCAGTGCATTCTTCTTCATTCAAAAGCACTGCACTGGATAGCTTGTCTACATCTAGTCCAACTATGCAGTCAGTTCAGTAATAGATGTCACCCACAATCCTCACCTCACACATTTCCTCGACCATCGCAGCTACAACGGCACTCAAACTCTACCATAAAAATAGAATTTTAAGTCTTAGAGGAGGAACAAGAAACATAAAAAGCAATTGCCCATGAAGACGATTATGAGTCAGTGGACAGACCGTGCATTTCAAGCCTCCACACAAGTTGAAATGTAGGGTGTACAGCAAATATTAACAGGTAACCAACAGCTGCTAAAGCTGTTGGTATTAGAAGTGACAATCCCAACTGTTGGGAAGGGAAAGCTAATGGAAAACTAGGTATGTGCCTGCATAGCACCTAGCCCAAAAACCTGGGATTCTTCTTCATTGGGCCCTCCCAGTGCTAATGAAATATCAACACCAAACGCAAAGCATGGGTGATAAAATGAGAGGCTCTATAGTAAGATGGAGAGCATGAAAGAGAGTTCCTAAGTGCAAAAAGTTTCAGCAGTGTCGCTGAAATAGTGCAATCTAAAAATGTTACATAATTTCCAGCACTATTCTTGAAACAACTGTTCCTCTCAAACCAAGTATGAAAAACAAACAAGCAATAAAAACCAACTTTAGATCCTCAGGAGCTGAATTTACCCCTAAAAAAGCATTGCTAACCTTCATATACTACACAGCTATTGAAGAGGGATTCTTTTGCTATGTTTGTTGCCAGCTATATCTTTTACCCTTAATTATTCTTGTTACAAAATGTAAGTCCTATTTGTACTTCAGTAGCACTCAGACTCCAATCTGGAGCTTCACTGAGCTAGGCACAAAGTCATACAAAGACACAGTATCGGTCCCAAAAGCCTGTCAGTGAGTATTTCTGTGATGAGAGCTCAAAGGGCATTTCGCTTCTATATACATTGCAATTCAACTTATCAATGCCTATACTCTGTGAATGATTCAATTCAGGTGCTCAGTTGCAAGATGCATCTGTTTTCTCCCATCTTCTCTGCATGCCTGATATGTAGATTAATGAAAGTTATATTTTGTGACAATACATTCAAAAAAATAAATCTTTCTAAAGTTTCTCCCAGCTTGATGCAGAAAGAAGACCGTCAAGAAGGATCTTTTACATCAAGTAGCAAAAGTTAGACTTCAGAGGCAACTATTCCACCAAAGATAAGACTTGGAGCAATTTGACAAAACATATTAATCCTACTCTGTGAACACTAGACACTTTGTTTCAAGCTGCACTCAGTAAATTCTTCTAAGGTCACAGCCCAATCATTTCCCTTGTGTGCAGTTTACCAGAGTCAGTTGGTTACAAGCCATGAGACCACATTAAAATGTGGAAAGAAGGCCTTTGTTGAAATTCACTTTATGTTTTAAAAAGAGTCAACAGATTAGGGAAACAAGAACGCAATCAGCACATCATCTGTGTTTACAAATCACACGCACTATTTAGGTTTTGAGTAGGCCCTAAGGATCACTAATTACAAAAATGTCAAATATTTAAAGTGTTACTTTCTTCTGGTTTTAACTAGATCCCACTAGAACATTCTGTAAACTTATATCCTGAAAACACATCGATGGTTCAAAGAGATGCACCGAAAGATTATCTGAACTGGAAGCCCACTCTCTTTAAGAAAACCCACAGAGTTTAAGAGCAGCTAAAGGGAAAAGTCCAAGCAGTTTACATGTGCTTAAATCACTAGGAAGCACTAAAGGTTTGGGGTCAGCTTTTAATGAAAAGCTGTAGCATCTTAACACTTAGTTTGTTATATTAAAATGTATAAACTTCCTTTTAATACAGTTATAATGAGATTGACCTGAGCTAGCCATCAAAAGCTGTTTTTAAATCCAAAGGAACTTGGTCATGAAGGTTATGGCTATCCTGTCCAGTGATCCTGACCCAGAATTGTACTGCAGACTTTTTTTTGGAATAACTGTTCAACAGCTGTACCACAGCCTGACTTGATAGCAGATGTCACTGTAGTTCTTGGGGTCTGAATGCCAGCAGAGACTAAGCCGGTATAAAGGAAAATGAAGAAGAATATTGAACTGCCTAGTGCAGAGAAATTCCTCTTTTCTGTGCAACTCTCTCTCACTCCCACCTCCCAAAGCTAACTGTGAGACTACAATTTCCAAAGCTGGTTAAGCTTTTTTTGTGTGTGCGTTTGTTTCATTTCCGTAACCCAGAACTAAATCCTGCTCACATGGGAATTCAGGTATATGCAGCTACTTTCTCACATTAACAAAATCTGACAGAAAATGACTGTATGGTAACTCTAACATGAATATGCATATAGCAACCTGTAAAAATAGAAGAATGCTATTTTGTATGGATGTTCACTTTTCAGCGCAAATATTTTACAGGAGTCTCAAGTTACCTGACAATTAGAATCTGCATTAAAATCAATTTAATATAGATTCCCCCTTCCAAAAGAGATGGTTACATTTTAAACACTGGAAGTGACCAAAAAAATGTTTCTGACTCATGAATACTTTAAGTGAATATTGATTCTGGAGTGATTCCTCCTATAAAAAAACTGACTCTTCATTATGCTGGTACTCTTAGCTGACTGCATTTTGTCCAGCATTAGAAAGATACATATTTTGCAGAACTCGTACAAACAAATTAATTAAAAAAAACCATGAATTACCTCAAGCTAAGGATTAAAATAGGAAAGTTCTCATTAGGTCAAATTTTGCTGTTGGTTATAATGTTGCCAATATGGAGTAACTAAAAAAAAAACAAAACACCAACCACCAAAAGAGTCTGCCATATCCCAAGATAAATCCCAAGCGGAAGTAGAACCATTGCCTAATTTCTTATTGAAAAATACATGTAACATAGAAGTTTACACATTTTAAGCCTTGTAAAGCAAGTACTGCTGGTTAAAGGCCCAGGTTCTGCAAAATCTTATAAATGTATGCAAGTTTATGAACTTTAAGTGCTTATGAACTTGCTCAGGAAGATAACTTGAACGCCACCATACAAACAACACTTGATCATTATTGATGTAATTTACAATGACAACACTGCAAACTCATCACTTTTACAACATGCAAGAAATGATAGGTTAGCAATATCTTTTACCTGTGCATTCTATTATAAGCTAAGCAAAAAAAATGAATTTAAATTTATATTCATCTTTCCATCCACTGTCAGAATGTTCATTCTCAGCCATCTCAATAAAGTCGATGACGTGAAGAACTACAAACAAGACCAGAGTACACAAGTGCTGATATTTAAAAAAAAAGTCGTTACTAATTTTGTAAAGACCAATTTTTTTTGTAACACAATCAATGTGAGGTAGATCACTTAATTAATAACTCAGAGTTATTGGCAATCTTTATTTGAACTTCCAGATTTGCAGGCAACAGCAGAAAAGTCCCATCTTACTAAATGGCACAATATTTCAGAAGCGTCTCAAAACGTTCAAAAGATATTTCATGCCACAGATCTGGTTTTATATGCCTTTGTACTAAAGAGGCAATGTATGATATATCTTTTGGAGCTTCTTACCACAAGAGCCACTGTAGCAACAATGCCTTAAAGCAGTGTTACTCTTAATACTACCATTAAAAAATAGGATATGCACAGACACTTGTATTATGCTTTTGTATAAACCTATTAGTGACACCCTTGAATGCAATTCAAAATAAGGGTATTGTGCTGTTCCTCTGCAGTCTTGTTAAAAAGAGCAAAGAGCAACAAAACGATAACCGTAGCACTAATATATATATTAATACGATACTGAAGGAATAAGCAAAACAAAATGCCTACAATTAAAACATTTTATTTAAAAAGGACAGGATTCCTGCATTACATTTATTTTAATTACTGTCACAAAAAAGTTAAAAGATGATACACAAATAATCAGGCCATATCCCAAAACTATGAATACATGCACTGTTTTGTACTCCTCTAGGCTACAAAGTGGATGAATTCAAGACTCAGTTTAACCTAGTAACAACAAAATGGAAAAGGATCGGAAGGTCATAAATCTAAAGGAAGACAGTAATCTGAGCTGATGCAGCAGCGGGCTTCACTGATTTGAATGAGGGAAGTAAAACTGTGTAAGAAGCATCATTATTATGTTTTAATCTGAGGGATGCTCTGCACCAGCAGTTCCCAAACTGTGGGTCACAACCCCAAATGGGGTCACAACATCAGCAGATGGGGTCACGGGGGTGGGGGGCTGTGGGTTGGGATTGAGAGGCCATGCTGAGGAAATGCCGTCACACTGAGATCAAGTTTGGGAAGCTGTGCTTTATAAGGAGTTTTTGGATTAATTGAACCATATCATTATATCAGTAATTTAATTAGTCCATACTGGGGGTGTCAAACCTTGAAGATCTCTGGGATGGTCTGCAGGCTGGATCAGGCAGTACTGGAGCTAAGGTACAGGACCAGTCTAGTGGGGCACCGGGTGCGATATACTCCCCATGCTGGCCCTGTTGCCATATGCAGTGCACATTGGCCCTGCTCTGGAGCTTGTGCTGCAGGCCAGGAGTGGGCTGGACCCTTGCTTGCAGCACAGGGGTTGGCACAAGGAACACACTGCATATAGCTCCCCTCCAGACCAACCCTGGCCCTAACCAGCACCAAAGCAAGAGCTGATCCAGCAGGGCTCCAGTTGAAGCACGCATGCCATGCCAGCCCCAGCTGCTATGCAACA